ATTATTTGCCTAATAAAAGCTATAGCTCGAGAGGAACTTTTACGTGGAAATATGATGATCAAAGTTTATTTGTGGAGATCAAAAAATATTACACAGATCATCAGCTGAAAGTTAAGTATTCTATATAAAGGGTTTGTTAGCAATCACAAAATGATTGGAATTTATATTCTCTTTTAGCACAAATCTCCAGTTAAGATTTGAGTGTTCCTGCTATTCAAAATAAGGTCGAAATTTTTATTAATGATACTTATCTTATGGCAGTAATATGAGAGTAAATTTTGCTTGTCGCGATCAGAAAACAATTAAAAATTGTAAAGTTATTTTGTTAAGATTAGCAGTTTAAAGTCAAGTGCTTTAACTAGATGGACTAGTGATAGATGATTAATTTCCTTTGGCGATCTTATTGCTATAAATTCAGCTGGTAGAAATCAGAAAATTAGTGGAATTTGTAGCACCTAGTACAAAGTTCCAGTTAAAATTTGAGAATTTCAAGCTTCTCAGAAAATAGACAGAATTCCGATAGACGATAAGATATTTTCGGAGATAATATTGCCAGGAATTTTGCACGTTGCTTGCATTAAACTATTGAAAATTATATTGTTATTCAGCACAGAGTCTAAGTTAAAATGTGAGCACTCTAGTTAACCGAAAAATCCTCAAACTTTCAATTGCAAGATTATACCCACACACTCATAAAAGCGAATTAATAAAGAGTTATAATACAAACAAAATGATGTATGATAGATACATTGACATAATGTTTTTTTAAAAAATTTTCACTTACTGATATTTTCTCTGTTTTAAACATTTTAAAATATTTGGAGCTTCTGTATCATTTCAAACTTAAAAATACTAAATCTATATTAAACAATATTTTTTTTTAACAAACAATGAAATAAACACTTATTTTCAGTCAAATGTTTTTAATCACTTCAAACATTAATTAAAACTATTCTTTATGGCACTCAATAATAAATTTTCAACAATTAACGAAATAAGACTTATTGTTTCCAAATTTTATAACAGTTAAAACTGAGACTCTTATTCTTATTGAAATAAACATATTTTCAATTGTTTCAAATATTTATTCTAAATTGCGCAGCGAAAAAATTTCAGTCATTAAGATGACAGATTTCATAAGAAAATGGTATCTTAAAATGATACTTGAAAGTATTGAAATCTTTACAAGAGGACAAGCGAATTGGACAACTAAATTCACAAGAGTCAAGCATGTAAGTACTGTTTCTTTCTCTATTAGTAAATGTACAATTATTACGTGAGTAATCTAGAAATTATTAGGTATGCATATTGCGCTCCGAATAAAAATTTGTTTCATGCATCATTTTTCAGTAAAAATGGAATATTTGTTTTAAACTATTCTTGTTACATAAATATCAGTTCATCTATAAATGTAACTTATTTGATTTAATCACCGAACTATTTTTTCATACAATTTAAACACCTAACTACTCCTTCTTTCTCTAATTATAAATCTATCTCTTCCAAACATATCGATTTTTTTTGTATGTAAGTAAACAAGTCTTTCAAATTAACTGATTAGAATTAACACCGAAAATATGTAAATTGTTGCATTACAGTGACTTATAATGAACTTAAAATAGGAAAGCACAGCATTAAAAATACCTCTTGTTCAAACGCAGTGATTTATAATGAAAGTGGAAATAGATTTCAATGAGGAACCCCTCTTATTTTTGGCGATTTACAAATAAACGAATCTATATGTAAATAAATCAAGAACCAATCACACAAAGGTAAACAAAAGTTGAGGTAACCCGAAGGTGACGTCATAGAAAGCAAAGACAGCAAAGAATATCATGGTAACCAGAAATGGGATTTCAGCAAAACTGAAAAAAAATTGTCGCCAAACCAAGAGGCCCCCGATTCTGCACTAGAGCCATGGAATTAAAATAGATTTACACAAATTAAAATACGCGAATTTTGATTGAAAGATCTAAATGGTGTCCCATAACATGGTCTAAAACATTAAACCGAACAACTTCAAATCGATGATGAATGAAATCCAGGAAAAATACATTATTACAAAATGTAAATATCAAAAATAAACTGAGTTCAACTATATTTATTATTTGTAGTAGTACGCTATTTATGTAGCGCTAAAGGTACACAATAGGTTAAAGGCGAGAGTCTGGATATGTTCCTGAAAGCTATCCGAAGACATACTATCACAATTTTTAAATTCAATCCTATACATAAGGGACAGAAGGTTGCTTTGTTCGCCAGACGATCTGTGTGCGAAGTAGAGCACTTTATAGCAGAAGAGTTTAACGACGATCGATACCGCGTGCCCTGGCACTTCCCAGGCTGATCAAAGTGGTCTCCCACCTGCTCACTGTCTGTTGCTCGTGGTGTTTGACTTGCTACTATAAAACGTGTCTTACAATCAGCCCACGTTGGACACTTTGAGTGCTTTTGAGTTATTACCGACCATGAGAGCACATTAAGTCTAAGTAGACGCGTGGCTTGGTTAGTCAACTTGAAACTTTCATCACTGATATCTATTTTACCATCGTCTATTTCGTCCAATGATTAGACAAATAAAATTGGCAGGTCCCGTTATCAGGAGGAACGAAAAACGCATCACAAATAAAATGTTAAAATAGACCAGCTGGCACACGAAGATTAAATCTAAGATGGAATGATGACTTATATAAAAACCAAGAACTGGAAATCGTTTTCGAGAAGATTGTCTTGTAAAAAGCTTATTGGGAAGATCCAAAGCTAGTCCTGGGTATGTTGAGCCATTAGGGAAGAAGACGTGTAAGTACTGATTTTAAAATCTATAATGCAATTTACACACGTAAACAATATATACACCGAAGAGTCATTACATTACGACCACCCTCCATCTATAACAATGGTCTTGCCCTGGTTTTCATGGTTTCTCGCCCAGGAACAATGTTTTCATGGGGCACATTAGGACCCATAATCGTCATAGAACAGCTTTACATACTTGAACATAGTTGCAGACCAGGTTCACCCATTCATGGCAACAGTTTTTCCTGCGGGGGAAGGTGTTTACCAACATGATAATGCACCATGTCATAAGGGTCGAATTGGTCCGCGGAACATTCCAGTGACTTTCAAGTCATGTCTTGGCCCCCAAATTCACTTGACCTTAATCCAATAGAGCATTTGTGGTCCTACTTGGAAAACCAAATTCGTGCTTCCACGCTACCCCCTCGCAATGTGAGGGAATTGCAGGACCAGTTGGTGAGCGTTTGGTACTAGATACCTCAGACTACCTATCAATACCTTGTGGAATCAATACCACGGCAGGTGCTACAGTTTTGAGGGCTAAAGGTGGTCCTACATTTTATTAGCAGGGTGGTCATAATGTAATGGCTCTTCGGTGTATATTTTTTATTTTAAGTTCATAATTACAATGTATGTATCATTTTTTTTAGGAAAAAATTTACTTTTACTTGAAAAAGCATTTTGGAAACTAGAATTTTTCAACATAATTATCAACATTAAACAGATATTTGTCACACGGGAAACCAAATTGTCTACAACCAGTACACAGAAAGATTCCGCCAGTGGAATTAGATACTGTTTAATATCGATATTATCTTCCATTTTAAACAATATCCTGCAAACTGGTTTTTGAAATTATTCACAAAATAATTTTATTGTGAATACATTATTATTATTCAAGAATTTTCTCATTCACCTTTACTACATAAACCATCATTGACAACAGAAGGCTGTAAACTCGTGCTACACGCACATGAAAATGCCATACACACTTTTTACCTTTCATCACTCATTACATAATAAACATAAATTTCTACATGTTGACGATAAATTTTAAGTGAGTTAACATTCTTAACTTTCAAACATGGTATAAAAAAAACTCACTACCCAGTCGGCGGAAAGGTAAACATCATTAAAATCGATTTGAGCAAACAAGAGAATGTAAAAATAAAGGGAAAATTTATTTAATTAGAACACGAAAAACGGTCTAGACAAATCGTAACTAAATTTAGGGCCAAAGTGAGACGTTTGTCTTTAAAAAACACAAATTGGAATTGAAAGTGGATGGAAGGCTAAAGAAAGCATACAAACTAAGTAAATATGGCACAAGAAGTTTGTGTGAGAAAAAGTTAGGTTTGGGAGCCAGGTGAAGGTTTAACAAAAATTCGGGTGCCATGGCCTAACAGTTTTTATCTGTTTCTTGATTTGTAAAACATACATGGTCGTAATAAATACTATGTTTGAGATTTCATTTAATTTGTTTCGGATTTTAAGCCGAAGGAAAAATAACACTTAATTTTCAATAAGTAGCAGATCAGAAAAAAATGTTTTAAATTAATGTGACAGGCATAACCATAATTTAAATCAGGATAAGTCACAGTATCATTTAAAAAATCATATCCAACAGTCAAATTTTCACAACATTTATAATAATTTTCTTTCTTATCTTATTATTCTTAAACCATTAAAATGGCATTTCTTAATGATCTTCGAAATATATTTATAGATAGGAGTGTAAGGTTAGAGATATAGAAAAAATTAAGTGGCCATCGCAAAAATAAATTTGTATTAGAGACGTGCCCGGTGAAGGTTTAACCAGAATTCGGGTGCTATGGCCTAACAGGCATTATATCTGTTTTTTGGTTTGTAAAGCATACATGGTTCTAATACCTGTATTTTTGAGATTCCAGTTCATTTGTTTATGATTTTTAGAGAAAGAAGTGTAGGAGATTAAAATAAAAAGTATGTTTCGAATTAATGGGTTGGGATCCACCATAATTTAATTAGGGAGAAGCCAACAATTACATCAGATTCCAGTTATATATTCTTCTTCTTGACATTTAATTTAATTTTCTTTCTTATCCCATAATTCTCAAAGCAGTAAATTTTCATTCCTTAATGATTTAAAAAGCAAATTTATAGTGAGGAAAATAAGGTTATAAAAATCACGCAAATTAAGTGGCCATCGCAAAAATAAATTTGTGTTAGAGACGTGCCTGGTGAAGGTCTCTCCGGAATTCGGGTGCTATGGCCTAACAGCCATTATATTTGTTTATTAGTACAGAAAACATACATTGTTTTAATACATATTGTTTTTGTGTTTTCAGTTAATTTTTATTTACCAACTATAAGGAAAGATAAAAATAAGAGCTAAACATTGAGCAGCAGCTGATCATCATAAAAAGTACGTGCTATGCTGATCAATTATTTCACACGATGTTTTTTAAGGGACGAAGTTAGGCCCAAAAATGTACCTTCTGAAATTATATATTCTCTTTCAAATGATTTGTATTCTTAGTTCTCGAAATATGGGGTATAGTAGCAATCTGATAAATTCTTCCACAATAATATGGTCAAGAGGGCCGTTGAAATATTGATCCTCTTGCTCTTTACTTCCCTTTTTGCGTAGTTTACTATATCTCGAAAATCTTTTTACCCGCAATCATAAAATTCGTTTTTCCAAAGATAATTTCAAGGAAAAAAAATATTGTTTACTTATTATGATCTATTTTATCTTATCATTTTCAAATCAATTTTTTTTAATGCTAAACTTTAGAGATTTTAGGCGTATAATCTGTGATTTATGAAATTTAAGAAAAAATCATAAGTCGTAAATTCGATTACGCAATATATTTTTCTCCGATTTCGTTCAAATTTTACATTGTGTTTCATTAACAATTTTTTAAAAAATATCCTTTAAACATTAGACTTTCTTCGTGTTTTTATAATTGTGAACCAGCATACCTCATGTTTGTTTGATTTAGTCGCATATAATTTTATTTTAAATTCTAAAAATTGCTTGATATAAATAATTATATCGTTGCAAATTTAAGCGTTATTTTGAAAAAAGTTCTTTTTGCTTATATAACTCTCCTTAAAATTACGAACCGCATTGTATCCACAATTCATATTACAAATTAAAAAAATTATGATTTTCTTAAATTAATTTATAGTATGCTGCGTTTTTAGCTGTGCTTCTGATCCTAACTTACCTGCTCAACAGAGCTCTTAATATGAGGAGCAGTGAAACCTTCAGAAACTCCACACAGAGTACTCAAACCCATTTCTGGAGTGATAATTCCTCTTCTATTGAGTATCATTTCACTCCATAAAGCTTTAGTAAAGGAACAATAAGTTTTAATTTTGATGGAAACACATCAATATAATATTAAAACACACCAAAATCAGGGAACTAAAATAAGAAACGCACCAAAAAAAGTGCGACTAATAATTTCCAGAACTGATATAATTAGTCCTAAAAATGCCACGTTAATTACATATCATTGTAATATAATTAGATGAAATTTTCTGCTCCTCAATCCTATTTTGGAATTGACCATAAAAATACTGAATATTCTCTCTTACTCTTACAGAATACGCCTGGTTTTACTAGATATTTTCGGAGATAATATTGNAGCACCTGAATGCCGGGACATAGTATGTCCAGGTCGTACTTCTAGATTCAATAGTACTCGGAGGGCGTATGTTCCACTGATGCCTTTTTGTTGATTGCCAACTCACATCTACAACTATCCCACCTCTGTTCTCTGCCCGTTACTTCCACCCCACATCAACGTGATAATTTTCATTAGGTTCATGATATTTACTTTGTAAATTAAAAAGAAAAAGGCCGCAAGTCTGATAAAATCATTTATTTATTAACCTTTTTTGGAATTAATACGTAGAACATTAGGGATTGAAATTGATTGTACAGTTGCAGAGTGCTGGAGTTGGAGTTATATACAATGCCTAATTCAAACGTTATTGCGTATTCTAATTTACAACATCAAACTGCTTTATAAACTAAGACTAATTACGCAAATAAAAAACTTTACATAATGTTTTCTATAGATAAAGACAATAACCTTAACATGGTTATTGTGTTCATCTATAGAAAGCAAACTATCAGGCGATTTTAGTCGATTAAAAATGTTGCGGAAAACAAATTCTTTATATTTATAAAGTTTATTTTTAGTTGTGCTTTATTAAAGTTCAGTTTATTACTTAAAATCAATTGAAAAGTTAAAAATCTAGAGATAGCAAATACCTCTTCTGCAGTTGTGATCAGGTTTGGAAATACAAATGACTTTATTGTAGCAAGAACTCAAACTTTTCAGGTCTGCGTCAAACGGTGTGACAGTTGTTCCGCAAATCATAATTCTATCATCGTTTCCTATTCCCTTGATTAGTTTGGGCAGTTCTTTTTTCAGGCGTTGAGCTTCAACCTGAAATTTTTTAAATAATTTATAACTATATTATTTTATTTTATGACCGTCGTTGAACAGCCGACCCAAATTTTGGGTTTGCGACTACTAATGTTCAAATCCGTAGCCTTGTAATTTTGAACCCAATCCAGAAAACAAGGGAAGTCCTGGATGGGAGAACTATTGGGAGAAATTTTGTCTTCGTGGAGGAATTTTTTTTGATGGAATTAATCCACATTTGCGTAACAGGAGGAGAAGACCACGAGAACCAACCCCGGTTAACCTGACGGCAAAGGGACTCTAAGCCAAGACCCGTCTACCACTGAGGATATTTCACGTCATCACTGCGGTCGGTGCAAGCCGGATGCGGCAATCAGTCATTACAGGTATGCGAACCCAGTTCTCCTCACTGGAAGGCGAAAGCTCTATCCCGGCTCTTTAAAATTTATTGATAAGTGAAAGAAATCGCATGACCTGAATATCTATATCACTTGCCTAAATCGCATGACCTGATACCCAATAAAAAACTTGATCTGAACATTTTTCATCCGGAACATTTTTCCCTGAACATAATTCACACTACTTGAGCCGTGATGGCTCAGGGGATAGAGTATTTGCCTTCCAATGAGGTGAACCGGGTTTGAATCCCAGCGATGGCTTGTCGATGCTAATTCCACGCCCGGCTTGCTCTGAGCACATTGCCGACGTAAAATATCCTCGGAGGTAGACGGAACATGAGTCAGAGTCCCCTTGCCGTGAAACTAAACTTTTGGAGATTTCGCGATTTTCCTCTCCATGTAGCACAAACGCAGGTTACTTCCATCAAAAAGTCTTCATAAAAGCTAGTTTCTCCCAATACTTGATCCAGAAGTTTCCTTGTCTTCTGTATTGGGTTCAAAATTACAAGGCTGCGGAGTTGAACATTAGCAGTCGTAAACCCAAAAATTGGGTTGGCTGTTCAACGACGGTTATAAAATAAAAATTAAATTCACGCAACTTAATGGAACTGACCATATGAGTCAGTTACTTAATTATTTAGTTACTCATATTACTTAGTAAAACTAACTCGGGTTACTTAATCGAACTAACTCGTAATGCTTAGAAAAATCCCAAACGAACGATTCCTTAAAGTTTTAAACTTGCAAAAGTAACAAGTAATGCTTTTGCATTGAATCTTTATATTAAAGTTATCAATTAATTACTTTCAAACTTTAAAACAGTGGGAAAATGAGGGATAAGGATTACTTGCATAATTCAATCGGATCCTCAAACTGTTTTTGCAAAATTCTATTGCTCTAAGTTAATACTATATTTTGAAAGCCTGTTGGAACACATATTTTTTTAATATCTCTAATATTTTTTTAATATTTTTAGTCCTCGTGTGATTTTATTGTAAAGTTAATTTCCAATTATACTACAATTTAAATTTTGTTTAGCTTTAAAACAGTGTACGAAAATACGATGCTAATAAGTTTTACGAAGGATAAGATGTGAGGAAAATAAAGCGCGTTCAATTGTCTGTTTGGAACATAAGGGCAGCAAGCAGCTCAGATTTGTTCACTTTTTTTTTCTTTCTTTCTCTTTTTTCAATGAATTGATCGATCTCTGTTATTTTGAAAGCCAATTGCCTGTGTTACTATGAAAATTGTAGTTGTTTCTAAAATAGGGATAATTTCCTTAAAACGTACAAAGGTGTTGAAAGATTCGAAGTCAATAAAAACGATACTTGAAAGGTATCGCATCGTTGAATTAATAGCCGTGAGGGGTTCAAAATATTGCTATAAATCGGGCAAGCCTTAAAAGTAGCAAGACGAATGATGATGTTTTTAAAAAGGTTGTGGATTAATGTGGTATTGGTATGTATGATTGGAATCAAAACTAATGAAAAGAAACCGCGACAATTTCTTTATATATACAGTAGAACCTCAATTGATCGTTTCTCAAGAGACTATTCATTACGAATGATAGATTCTGGAAAACGAAGAATGTAGGTCAATTCAGAATACCAAACAGTGACTTGAAAATGAATGAAAAGTGATAAAGAAGTAATAGGACTTAAAAATAAATAAATGCATTATTAGTCTGAAATATTTTAATTCAACAATAATTTTTGTCATTTTTAACATATTTCTGTTCATTCATAACATATTTCTGTTCAAATGTTTCTCAACACTTCCTCTTTGTCCTGCAATTTCGTTTGAATGCAGAAATCCCTTTATTGTTTCAAAGACTTCGAGGCCTTCTGCAAATCTTTTCACTGGCCAAGTGCAAATTCTCCATCGGTATCACATTGTTTTTTTTCTGTTTCTACAACCATTTCTTGAACCGACCATACCTCAAGTTTCAAAATTTTCATCAATTTATGCACAAACATCAAACATAATGTTTGAGGAGTTTTTTTTAAACTGCAACAAATCCTAATTTTCCTCTTCATCCTTATTGTCAAGAGCTTGTTTTCTTCTCAAAATGATATTAGCTTCAATTTTTTTAGAAAATCTCCGTAGAATTTCTGAACGATAAAGGGAGGAATCTGCTAGTTTAATAAACGATCTAAAAAATGTATTATTAACATCATAAGAGTGACATTTGTGTCGGGACTGCTAAAACAAGAAGATACATACCCGAAAACAAAAGATGATGGAACGATGGCTCGGGATTCGATTGCTAAATTATGCATTTAAACGCAGGTTAAAAAAATTGAGGAAATTGAGAATAATGAAAAAAAATTGCACCATCCTCTTATCTAATGATAAATATTATTTAGAAGTCTCCATTAATTATTTTCTACCTTACTTCTTAGAAAAAAAAAGACAGAAAAAAAAATCATAGCAGAATTTACCAAAACGCTTGTCGTAGCTTGCTTTTTCCAGAAATAATTTTCGGCGTCTCCGATATAAATAACAGCTGGTTGGGCAAGCTTTCCAACTTTCGTAATCAAGTGCATCAACATGTCCAAACCTTCTTTTCCAATATATTTCCCATTTACGTTTTCTGCTGACAAGTCCATCAATATAGCTCCAATTTCATTGCAAATCGCATGGATCAAAGACTTCTTTCCTACACCGTGTGGTCCAGCAAACAATATTGATTTCACATAAGTTCCTTTAGAATGTATGTAGGATGACCCTACAAAGATAAAGATATTACGATTTTAACGATTCAAAATGACACTTTTGAAGTGCAACTGAAGGACAGGGATTTGTTGAAACCTTTTTTTAAGATGGAGACATAATTTCAATATTTTACAAGATTTAATGCTTTTAAATTTTGCACGTTTGATCGATTTGATATTTTCATTTCATGCAATAAAACTTCTGTTTATATATTTTATATTATAAACTTAATGCTGACGAAAACTATTACTCATTTGTTACGTTTAAATTATGTTACAGATGCATTAAAAAAGCAGTAAGATTTCGTACTATCATAATGAAATGCAAGTTCAGCAACTTCGCTAGGTTTTTAATAGACAAATTGGCTATACTTATCCTGATCGTTTCGATCATGCCTATCCTAATCTTGTATGCTATAATTTAGAAATATTCAAGTAATGGGTAATTTACGTGTATTACAGATAATTTAGACTAGCATGATATTAAATATATATTGTGAAATACTTCTTATGTAGAAGATAAAATAGGGGTTTAACCTTCAAAATTTGCGTAAGAAGTTTTCTTATAAAGATGTCCCCTTCAGCGCGATGCGAGGATGAAACGGCCTAAGGGCGGCTAACACTGACAAAGGAGGCGGTGAGTGAATGTGAGCAACTAGTATAGCTAGAGTCTCTTTGCTAAGAAATTTTTAGAACTTGAAATAATGTCGGAGAGTGGAGAGGATGTCGCGGAGCCTCCTGGATTTGAGGACTTCTTTGAACTTAGTCAGCGTGACTGGGCTGCTACTTCCTATGTTCTCCCGGAGAAAGCTAACAAATTTATAACCACACACTGCGGAAGGGGCTTACTACGAAAGCTATTGAAAAACTAAGTGACTTAACAACCGAGATGCTTCTCACCATAGCAAGACAAAATGAGGTGCTCTCCTACACAAAAGAATGACAGCTTGAGGAGGAAAGAGCTTTAGCAAAAGTTCTAAGGAGCAAGAAGAAAATGAGTCGTAAAACGTATAAGGAAACGATAAAAACAGGCCAACAAGCGCACCGCTCTAAGTCGTGCAGGAGACGCGTCGTCATGATTAAAGGGTCAGATGGAAAGTCTCCAGAGGAGGTTGAAAGAGTAATTAAAAACAAAATCTATCCATCTGAGTTGTAACTCAAGGGACCTTTTAGAGTTTAAAAAAACGCAAAAAGGTGAAGTAGTGATTAAGCTTGAATCCCGCAACGACCTAGTAATTCTAAAAGATCAAATTGAAGAGAAATGCCTTGAGGACCAACTTGTCTGTGAAGAAACAAGAAAGAGAAAACCCCAAATTACTATTTTGGGGCTTAGTGAATTAATAACAAAAGAGACACTAGCAAACCAACTCAAAGACAACAACGACGACCTCTTTCAAGTGAGAAATTTTAATGTGGCCATCCCAATCAAAGCAAAGAAAAGCGTCCACTGGGTTGTTACAATAGAGCCTTAAGCCTTTAGAGGAATTATTAAAAAAGAGCGAGTAAATATCGAATGGAAACGACACCAAACCAAAGAATACCTTAGGGTTCTAAGGCGTTACAAGTGCAACGGGCTTGGACATATGGCAAGAAGGAACTTGCTCCAGCTGCGGAAACTCAGATCATTTTGCGAACAAGTGTAAAGAGGAAAACAAATGTGTGAACTGTCATGAGACTAGCGTCAAGTTTGGCTCGACATTGAGAACAGACCATAGTGTCCTCAGTAGAACTTGTGTTTCCAATCAGCGGACAATCATCAGACTCCAAAGGAGAACCAGTTACTTGAACTAGAGCATCCAAGTCCATGAGAATTCTGCAGTCCTGACGCTGCCTATGTAACTAGATTATTTATTTTGATTGTTGTCACGTAATTCATATGTCACCATTTGTATTTGTTATTTCATTACAGAGATTGCAATTTTGTTTAATAAAGTCATGTGGTTTGGGATCTTCCAGTCGGAGGGTTGATCTCTTAATCGCGGGATGGGTGTTGTCTCCCTGAGGTCAGCCCAGGCTGACCTGCGTCTCGGAGGAGTTGATACCTACTCCCTGCAGGTCTTGCACTAGAAGCTTCTTCAATTTCAAGACCTATAGGGAGTAGGTATTTCGTCGGTAGGTATCTACCGAAGTTTATAGATATCGGTAGGTATAGAGTAGGTATCTCGTCGAAGCCCCTCTTTGTCCTCGACGAGAATGTGCTGCTTTTGTCTGGCGTGACTCGGGGCTATGAACCCTCGTGTGTCCATGCACAGCTGGGTCCGCCGTACCGATTCAAGGATTTACGCAGTGACGATCACCATGTGGCCAGCCTGAATGCCCCTACAGGGCTGGGACAGGGTTCAGTCCTACTTATAAAGATGTTTGTTTTCGGATATGCACTACTATTTACAAAAATTGCAACGCAAAGAAAAAATTGTGTGAATATAAACACTAAACACTATAAGCAAATTGGGACAATACTAGCACGATATTAAATGCATATTGTTGGGAAATACTATTCATATGAAAGATAAAGTTGTGAAATTCCACCTGCAAAAATTGCATTGAAAGTTTTCTTATAAAGAAGTCAGTTTTCGGATACGCACTACTGTTCACAAAAATTGTAACACAGAGAAAGAATTGTGCAAAATGAAGCATTATTAACAAATTGAAACACTTAAATGGTGAAACATTTATATTGATTGCCCATAGTTGGATCAAACAGAGCTTGTCATTTAAAGTTTGCAGAGGCTTATTAAAAATTAGTGCATAGTCACCTAATCGCGGCGAACATTTGATAATATCTTGAAAAAGATGGTTCAATTTATAAAGTTTAGAAGAGTTGTTAAAACGACATACAAGTTGTATCGTGTTCCGATTATTATGATACGGTAATCCCTTTCCTTGATAACGTGAGTCTTGTATTTCCTTCATAACGTGCATATGGGCATTATTATGTTGATAAATTCTATGGGAATCATTTAAAAATAAAGTGAGAAAGTTTATTGGAGTATGCTTAAATTTGCAGATCAAATTAAATTCATTAAGTATGCAGATTTTGACTTTGTGACTTCAGCTTTCCTTAAATAGAGCAAGATAAAAACTAAATCCTAAACTTTGATTTTCAAAAATGGTCTTGGTGAGAATAAAATTAGTTAAAACACCCCTTATGATGTTGTTTACCTATCTCTGCAATGTCCGATGTTTATACGCCCATCACTGTAGTCCGCATTTAAATCGTGATTCATTTAAAAAAAAAAGGATTTATTGTTAATCAGTATGTTATTGGTAACGTTAATAAGCTCATTATGATCTTGAAAACCCCTATGGATTATACTGAATGCAAATAATGTACGAGAATGTTATAAAATAAATTCGCATACAGGTAACATAAATTTATACACAGAGTGTATACAATTTTAATGTCTAGATATTACCCATGGGAAGAATGCAGTACTCGTTGACAAGTCGTCTTATGTCAGCCAGGCAAGGAACAGGATCTTTTTCTGGATCACTACCTGATTCTAAGACAGATCCCGCATAATTGTAATCTCCGATGAAGTCAGTCAAAAAAAACTTGGGATAACTAATGATAATTTTTTCTTTGATTAGTTCTTCTACCAGGGATTCAAAACTCCTGAGGAAAATAAGTTTCGTAATTTAATATTTTCCATTCAAATTATTTGTAATGATTGTATAGTTGCAACAAAACTTTTATTAAATAGTGATTGACTTAAAATTTAAAGGACTTAAAGTAAATGAAAATGAATACATTAATTCAAAGCAAAGAACTTGTGGCTAAAAAAAAAAGTGCCATTTCCCCGTTCTTCATAGAGATGTGAGACTCAAATACAATTTTGTAAACTCTCTTTAAATCTTCTCTCTCTTTAAATGTATTCAATTTTATTATTTTATATTATGAATTCCTATTATCTATTTTTAAGATATTTCAAATATATATATATATTTAGTTGTAAATATGTACAATAATTATATACAGAGAGTGACCAAATTATTATGAGCACCCTTTTATTATTTGTTGAATTATCTTTTGCCCTTAATAGAAGCCCTTAGTTCTTGTTATAGACTATTTGTTGGTATGAAAAACTTGCCACCATATTCGATTAAATTCACTTTTCAGTTCCTTAAGATTTAATGGTACTGGATCTAGCTGTCCAGTGCCTCATTTAACTCATTCCCAGCCTCACAATCAATTCGAGATCTGGTGATTGTGCTAGTCAACTAAGCAAAGTAAAGTCTCTATCATGCTTTTCGAACCATCACCGGACAATGCTAGGGTGCACTGTCCCTTTCACGGCAGGGTACACCTGTAACATAATATGATATAGTTGATCAACGGCTGCTATCTTTGGTATTCAGACTTAGCTCCTCAAGAAACAAAGAGGCCATACAATACCAAGAAAAAAATCACCCAAACCCTAATATTGTCTGTACTAGTTTGAAGTGTTGTAGCAATGCAGTCGGGAAACGTGTTTATTTTCCTCCGGTTTTCCTGATATGTTTTTTTCTCTGCCTATAGAATGGCGTAATTGGAAAGGAGATTCATCGGACTACATGAGCCTTCAACCACCTACCGTCCAATTCTTGTGATCCAGTATTTAAAAGCGTATTGGAAACGTCTGTTCTTGTTCAAGGCTTTTAAACATATCATATCATGGGCCTCCATAGCATATTCCACAAACATGACGGTGAAATCTGATTTCCGATTAAAAATCCAATCATTTGAACGAAAATTATTCAGAATGATGCTTATTATTTTATTTTGCTCACTGCGCATTTTTAGAACTCTTGTAAACCATGAAGTCCAAAAACTGTGCACATTAGGGGTCAAAAATTAATATTTAAGTACGGAAATATAAAAAAGTTTCCGAATTCCGACCATTCATTAATGAGGTCATTGAGGGCAAAGAAGGGTAGAAATGACCTATAAGCATATTATTTACTGATAAAGATTAAAGTAATAGTTTACAACCGGGTGCTCCATCATTTTTGGCGATTTTCAAATTAACGAATATATATGTAAAGAAAACAACAACCAATCACATGAAGGCAACCAAACTTTGCGTCATTGAAAGCAATCACTGCAAAGTGGTATGGTAACCAGAAATGGGATTTCAACAAAACTGAACGTAAATTATCGCCAAACCAAAGAGCCCCTGATTCTGCACTAGAGACAAGACTAGAGGTGTTCCTACCGAAAAACCTACACATACTAGTTCCACTACGCAAATATGCTGGTTTTGTCCTTTTTTTTTGGTTTTCTTAACTTAAGCAGAATTAGGAAATATTTTGTTTCTCTCTCACTTGAAGAAAAATTTGCGATACCTAAATTGCAAAGATTTTTTTTAAACTTTACCATTGAAAAGTATTTTTAAATTATAAAAATTAAGGATGGAGATTATGGTGCACTTTGTATGTAAGAGCAAAATAATACTATTACCTATTTGGAGTTAAATCTTTCTCCTTTTTTCCTTTTCCTTTGCTTTTACCTTTATCTTTTTTACCTCCTTTCTTACCACCTTTTTTTCCTTTCTTTCCCAAGTCTTTTTCATAAGCCTTAAAATAAATAAATTTGAAAATGGGAAATTTAGAAATAATTTTTAAAAAGTCAGGAAAAATAATAATTAATAATGGATGAAATGTTTGCTAACATTCAATTATTTGTATAAAAACATCAGCTCGAAGTATTGAATAAGATAATTAAATGTGATTTTTTATATTACTTTAGAGACTATCAATGGATTGCCGAAGAGCTAATGTTAAAGATTCAAAATTGTACATTTTAAAAACAAAATTATTCAACTTTCAAACAAGTTCACCGTGTTTATTGAAATACATTAAAAATTTTATTGCTATTTCAATACCTTATTGTTGACTGTTCCTTGTATGCGAGTTTCTTTCGAAGAACGTTTCATATTGTAGTATCAGAATTGGGATTTTTATCTATGAGGGTCATTCAAATGAAACCTTATCAGTCCATCTAACTTTGTATTAGACGCAATGACAGGACACGTAACTGCGTGCATGGCGGCACCATCTATTGGTAGAGAGACAGACGCATGCTCAACGTTTGACGTTGCGTAGCGACTGTATGGTTGCACGTCGAAGAGAAGGTGGTCATACAAGTTATCACCCGCGCATGGCCAATGCAACGAAGACGACATTGCAGCAGTTTTGGTGAGAAACGCTGGAACATCCACTGTACAGTCCAGACCTTTCACCGTGTGACTTTCATGTTTTTGGACCTCTAAAACAAGCTATTCGTGGACATCAATTCACAACGGACGATGACGCGTGTGACTGGTACCAGACCTAGATCCGACAGCAGCCTACTAGCTTCTTCAAAGATGGAATCGACCGGCTAGTGTCGCAATGGGATAATTATTAATTTTAACAGTTTTAGCAACTATTTTTGGGTATGTGTACTGTGTGTAACTACATTTGTGAGTTAATAAAATCGTTACCATTACTTTACACTAGTGACCTGGTTTCATTTGAATGCCCCTTATATTTTCCTTATGGGTCCTTATATTTTCCTTATAAAGTCCTATTCACACCTTCAGTAAATTGAAACAAATGATTTTTTTGAAAAGTTTTAGTTTCATATTTGTAAAAATAAATTCGTGTTAATTTATGTAGTTTCAAGCAATCATACATTTTATTTCTTAACTTGCTACATTTTAATTCCATGGTGTATTTCCGTATCAAAATATGAGAAAAAGAAAGGCTGTTTTTTGTATTTAAATGTTGAAGCTTTCTTTTCGTGATAAATTTTATTTGACTAAATAAAACTAAAATTAAGACTTTTTGTTATAATAAGCAAAAATTCATATAACAATAAAAAATAGTGTTTTATTATATGCATAGAGTTTATTATATGCATCCATACACATTTAACCCGCCTCACTCCATATACTCACTTCGATTAATCGATGTAACTCTTCTCTCATATCCTTATCGACAATTAATCGTACTCGCAATTCCATTTCAGTCATAGCTTCTTTTCTAATCATGTCTTCATCAAATTTATCAAAAAATCCGAGAGGTTGTCGCTCTTTCCAAATATCTGTTGGAAAAGTTTTAAATAACAAAGAAGTCCTTCGATAATACAGAATGAATTTGAAAATACAGAATGGCGTTTTTTGAAAATGCAAAATTATCCTTTTTTTGAAAATACAGAATGGTATATTAACATCGACTTCATCATTAACGCTTTGCTTTTATTATTAACACTTAAAGTTTAATTACGTGTATAAATTTTTTTTCTCCAGGTTTCCTGTTTGATATTAAATTGTATTTAATATTTTTTTATTTACAGCAAAAATACACATCCTTTAAAGGGTGAGAATATTAAAGGATGAGGACACATCCTTTCTAAATTCCTACGATTTTTGATTGATTCCTACGATTTCCTAAATCCCTACGATGATGACTTTTGATGAGGATGATGATCCTTTGACATCTTTTTCAGTAATCAAAACATTTTTACGGGCTCAAGTTAATATTCAAAGAAAAAATATTGTATCAAAATCTGAAGAATTAGTATCGGGATCAATTTCAGCAAAAAAAAAAAAAAAATTGAAATTTTATAAAGCCGTCCTATTACTCTCTTTTATTGATCATTGAATTTGAAATATTCAAAAACACCAAAAAGGTACNTATATATATATATTTGGTTATTTGACTGTTTCGGTTGAATATGGTAAAAAGAAATTTTCAACACTGCAGTACGGGACCCTTTCTTTTAAGTATTCTTATTTCTTCAAGATTTCTCATGTATTTAAACTTGTCATATAATTCTTATTCATTCTCTATATTCAGTCATGTTTATAGAGTATACATGTTAACGAAAATGAACCATCATTACTATTATATTCTTTAGTCAGTGAACACAATTCAGGAACATATTTGGATGTCTTCAACACATAGCCACTTGAATCTTCCTAAAATGTACAATAAGAAGTAAACCAACTAAATCGGGAGAGAACACAAACAACAGAATACTTTTAAATCTTTTTTTTTCTTTTCTATTTACATGATTATGAACAAAAAGAAGTAAAGCTATTACTGCAAAAATTCATGCTAAGATAATTACTGTAATATTTGTGTAAATAAGACATTACCTTCTCTCCCGATTCTTTAACTTCTTTCCTCTCAATAGCTTTCTCCTTAGATGCGCCTTCTTTGGCCTAAATAGATTTTAAGTCCAATGATTAGCTACGAAGAGCAATACAACAATCGAAAAGCACAAGATATCTTCATGTTATTTTTCTGATCAAACAGTTAAGAAGTTCCGTCATAAGTGCCTTTAGTGTAATGTTACACCCGGCATTTAAGAATATTTCACGAGATTCCCGCCATTAAGAATATATCACATTCTGACACAATCTATCACTTGTATTTTTCTCTCTTGGCATAAAAAAAGAATGTTAAAAAAATAGTCGCCAGTAAAAGGACAAGCAATTTATTCTTTTAATGATGGTCTCGAACTAAACAGTTTGTGAAAAATTACGTGTAAATTATTCAAGTGAAAATACAAGTATAAATTGAAAAGCAAAATGTCTAACTTACATTTTATAGAAAATTGAATAAAGTTCCACGAAGATTTTTTTAAGAGAATGAATGGAAAATTAAACTTGGTTTTAACTCGAAGAGTCTGTCATTGGATTTTATTGCATTGACTGTAATCTATCTTAATTTATGACTCTGATCATCAAAAGAAATTAACTGACTAAAGACCACTAATTTATTCTGTAGCACATCTTATCTCGTTTTTATACTTTTGATGAATAAATTTTGCTTAAGGGGGGAATTATTGAAACAAAAACAGGAAAATGAATTCAACATAAAGCCCAGAAGCAAAACATGCGATAAAAAGTGAAAGAACAGTAGCTTTAAATAGCTTTGTTGTAGGTCATGTGGTAGAAAACACATCATCAAGGATTTAGCATTTTGAGTACGAAATTAATTTAGAAAAAAAATGACTCGAAAAAATTTGGAGATGAAGAGTTTTGGAAAAATAATCCAAGGAAAACTAAACTTGAAGAATAAAAAAAAGAAATTTATATTTTCGTGGCAAGTAATAGTACTTTATACCCTATACTAGAATTTCTTTTCTTTTTTTCTTCTTTTTTTCCAATGAGCTGCACAATCGGTCTTGCCGATGAGCAGACCTAGTGTGTTCTCCAGAGGTGGTATCTACTCTTTCAGGACCACCACAATGGGTGAGATACCTTTGGTCATGTTAATTTCGACGTCTAGTTTCTGCCACACTAGATGGCAGCACCGAGACTCTATTTGGATGCTAAAAATACTAGAAATAAAGGAACAAGTCTAACTTCTAAACAATTAGAACAAGGAAAAATATGCGCAAACAAACTTGTTCAGGAAAAATTCAACAAACAAAAATACCAAAAACTATACCTTTTCCTGATCATTTTCTTTAACATCTTTCAGGAAAACAGATGAGCCGCCTTCTTCTTCAGAGGGAAAAGACGGATATTCACCGTGTTCTTTCCTAAATTAGAATGCAAAATCTTATGACGATATGTTACCGTTGTTCTTTTTAAATAAATTTTTTCTGACGCTCTAATTACAAGCAAAAATATATTTTGGTATTTTTTAATGATAAAAAACAGTCTAATCATTACTAAAAAATTGTTAGATTATAGAAATTACATTTGTACTACATTAAATCCAATAAAATTAATTTGAAAGTTTTTTCATTTATATTCTAAAAATGTATCCATAACTGATTTTGTAAATTAAAGAAATTTAAATGATGAATAGCTATTTATCTTAGATCTAAATAACTGCAAATAAGTGCAGATTAAAAAAGAAATTGTTTAGAACAGCGTGTTTGAAAGATTTCCCCGTTAGCGGAAAAAAAAGACACTGATGTTTCTTGCTGTATTTAATAACCATAAATTATTAAAATGCAAAGTACAAATTTTTTTACTTATTTTGACTTATTTAATACAAATAATGAGAAAAGTATTAAAATATATTTAATATATTTTGCGTCAAAGGTTTAAGGCACTTGAACGCAAGGCTTAATAAGGTTCTAAAGAAACTTATGTACCAGGTTTAGTTCACAAAATCAAGTTATTTGTAATGTTTGACACATATTGCTTTTAAATATATAACTCATACCTTTTTAATTTTTGTTACCGAATTTAAGAGAATATTTTGATTGTTTTCCTCCATAAAACTTCCTGTTTCAAGTTTGCTTACTTTTTTACTCAATGTAACAGCAACGCTCGCCGGTATTTTTTTTAAAATTTAAATTTCTCTTTTAATGCTATTAAAGTACGTTTTTCTGAAAATACACATTCAGACTAACCCTAAGAATGCACATGCATGTGCGTGTGTTTTATTTTTATATTTTCCATCTTTATTTTTGTCTTCTATGATTCTGATTAAAAATTAATATATTTATTAAAAAGAAAATTTTATTTAAGCAAAGCTCAATTTTTCGATGCGAAGTTCAATTTTGTACTCTTAAGATTGTGGCCTCTAAGTGGCCCTTGACCTTAAAAAAGCATCAGTGTTTGGAGTATCTGGCAAATGTAAACCGGGCAATGGCACTTGACCTTAAAAAACCATTGCCCAGTATACCCAACACTGATGTTTTTTTAAGGTCAAGGAACACTGCCCAGTATATATTTGCCCGATACTTCAAACACTGATGTTTCTTCAATCTATCGTCAGTAAGTATTAAAATATCGAATAAATGCAATTATATCCACGAATAAATTAATATCAAATCGGATGTAATAAATATTTCGGACATTCACCAAAGCGACTATGTGATCGTCAACATTCACCGGTGAAAGTCAACAACCACCGATTTCGGTCATTCGCAGTAATATGCACATCAGTTACATAATAATATCATCAGGACGTTTACTTCATACTTTGCCTAACTAGCATCCGGCATTATATATAATGCCTAGGCAAAGTATGTAATACTTCTCATATTTCATACTTTGCCTAAAAACTTCAGGCATTATATATTACGGCGGCATTTCATACTTTGCCGGTCACACATACAGTAACATTATATAAAATTTCACTAGCTCCGAAGTCTTATGAAAGAAAATAATCATTTAAAATTTTTTATAAAATATCAAACTCTTTAAATAAAGCTGACTCTTAGGTTTAAATACCTGTAATCTTCAAAGTAAGATCGAATTTTGCTCCTTAAATCTTCCATAGCCTGAGGAGCGATGAATGTTTCAATCCCTTTTTTGATATCTTTAATGGCATCTAAATATTCAGCTTCATTTTTCAGTATCAATGCTCGGCGATTTCTCTGCAGTTCTTTCAATTGTTGCAATGCATGGAATCTTTCAACTTTGTCAGCAACAGATGGTTGCTATATATAACAATCAAAAATATTTGATACACATTACTTTTTTATTGTTCAGTTTACAGGGTGTTCAAGAAATTACAGTGAAAATTCAAAGTTTCATTTAAGAAAAAAGGAATTCATCTACCAATTTTCCAAGCTGCAGAAAATTAGTAACTTTAATTCGATTTTTTCGTTTCCAGTTTTTTTAAAAAAATTTTTACTAATAAAAACGTAAAAAGGTGCGTGTTTTGCCATTAATACAAACGAAAAACCATCATCATATTCAACCAACTGTTAAAAACAGTAATATCCCTCGAATAAATTTTTTTAAATAACTAATTTTTTTTGTCGTACGTCTGTTTAGGCAGTGGGGTGCGATTGTTCCTGTTTTTCAGTGGCGCCATCTGTGGCCAGGAATTCGACTTCTGCCACGTCATTCACACCACTACAACCCGTGTATAGGGCGGGTCACATTCACACACAAAGGAGAAAGAACATAGAACACACACAGAGAGAAAGAAACATCCATGCCCTGCCCGAGATTCGAACTCAGGACCTTTCTGATGCAAAGACAGTTCCCTGCCCCCTACACAGGCCGATCGGCAAACTAACTGTTAAATTAAATTTTAAAATAGGGAGATGAATATATTTGTATAACACTTAAATGTATGACACTGAAACTCATTGATTTGTATAACACTGAAACTCATTGTACAAAAACTAAATGTATCAAACTGAAAAAAAGGAACAAAAAAAACCTTCTCTTAAGTGTTATTGCAGGAATTTTCATAGATATAATAACTGTAATTTTAAACTCAATAGATAAGAAAGTACGAATACCATTCCCAAAAGATTCATTTCTGCATCGTAAATCGTTCTAAACTTCTTGTGAAAAATAAACCATCGCCATGCCTGAAATAGTAAATAAATAAATAAGTAAATAAATTAAGTAAAAAATTTATATAACTTGAATATTAAATGGGTTTTATTAGATAATTTACTCCTAAATTTCAATTTTAATTATAAATTTCTCTTTAGATATAAAAATTGCTTTAACACTTAATGAATTGTGTTTAATTTATTAACAATTGTTTAACTTTTTTTACTTCATTGCAATATTTATCTAAATATTTTACTAAAAACCAATATGAGATTAATACATTTTAAATTATATACGTAATTATTCGATAATTATGTTTACTAAATTTTCAATAAACAGCAAGTAAAACTTGCTGTTTAGAAAACGCTTAATTGCGTAGTTCTTAATTAGATAAAAATTGAAGAAAAAATCTATTTTAAAACTAAAAAAATAATGCATGATTTGAAACCAATGATTTTCCAGATCTTACTAAAAAAAATCTATTTACTCTTTAGAGAGCTGTTTTGACAAACTGATTACCATACCTATTAGCATTTATTATGCATTTCATCGTTTAATGTAATTTTTGTTGTTTCTAATGACACCTGGTGCTTAACTTCGCATGCAGATCGTTGGGCTACCGAAGAGGGGGTGCCATACCCTCTGCAGATGATCAAAATTGTGACGGCATGTCTTCGGATCATTTTCAGGGATGTTTCCCAGACCATTCTGCCAATAGCCCATTCTGCGAAATTTTGCATATTTTTGGTGTCTGTTTTATTTAACCTGATTGGATTTTACACACGTCTTAGACTGCGGGCTGCTCATTCGTGGAGTCATTTCGTCAATTTAGACCTGAAACCGTCAATTTATCCTGAAATGGAAAGAAATTTTCCATGGTATTGCTCAGTGGTCGACCACAGGACTCTCGATTTCACAGATTTTATGAGCTCGTATATCGTATGTACATGTCGGGTTTCAGCGGTGTCGAAATCGAACCCCGACCTTTCTGGACCGGAGTTCGGTTCTCTAATCACTGAGCTACAACGGTCTCAGTATAATTTTAGTGTAAAATTTTCAAGTACACTTAAAAGCTTCCAAAAAATACGAATCAAAGCTTAAAAAATTGAATTTCTAGAAAAGAGAAATCGATTAGGTACAAAAGTGAACATTTACTCTTTGTATTCTTGTTGCTGCTACATCCTGCGCAATTTCTTCTTTCAAATTTTTTCTACATTCTTTCAATCTGTTTTCCTCTTTTATTTCAAAAAGTCTTTGGGCATCCAGAAAAGCCATTCTTCCTCGTCTTGCTCTGTCATGATTCAAGATCAAAGACACCGCTTCTTTCACGCTCATTCTTTGAGTTCCCCAATGCTGTTGAACAGATAAAGTGAAGTGCTTAGTGTTAAAACATGTTAACTGACATTATAAAAGTTAAGTGTCTTTCTATCGATATACAGGGTGTTTATAAAGTTAAGGACCCATTTTGATGCTTAATAACTCATAAAATAATAAAGATAGATTAAAATTAATAACATAAATGGCTAGATAGACTCAAAAAGTTTCATGACCCTTGTCAATGAACTTCCACGTGTGCCCCCTTCGTCGCACGGAGAATATCAAGTCGATAGTCAGTTTCACGCAAGGTAGCAGCAAGCATGTCGGCATCCACAGAGGCTATTGCGGTTGTAATTCTATCTAAACATTTATGTTATTAATTTTAATCTATCTTTATTATTTTATGAGTTATTAAGCATCAAAATG